CCAGCGCTAATTACAGGGCACTTCTGTGTAATGGAGTTATTGATTGGTGCCTATTGACAGCCCATTCCAGGCTGCAATTAAACCTCAAACCAGGGTTCTTTCTGCTGGGCTGAATAATGCTTTGCCTGAATCCTTCTTTTCCTGAACCCTCCTTTTCCTGGGTGTTGATATTGGGGGACAATCTCRGCTCTGTGGCACAAATGGCACATGGGAAGGGCTTTTGGGGTTTGAGTGAGCCCTGAGTTTGTCTTTGTGGTGTCTGSGTCTTGCTGAAGGGTGGGAAAGGCYCCATGGAGCTGAGGGCTGGTTCSATCCTCCAAAACCSGGGTGCTTGAAGCCTTTTGGGAAGGGCCAAGTTTTGGGAATGCCTGGGGTGCAATTGCAGGGTAGAACCGAAGGGTCCTGGTTTTTGTTTGTGTTTGCACCCGGTTGGACATCAGGGAGGAATTTTCTGGTGGAAAGGGCTGGAATGTCTATCCCTGGGCGGTTTAAAAGCCCTGTGGATGTGGCACTTGGGGACATGGGGCAGCGGTGGCTTTGGCAGTGCAGGGGAACAGTTGGACTCAACGATCTCAAAGGGCTTTTCCAACCTGAACAATTCCATGATTCCCACCCGTCACATGGACCAACCCCAGCCCCTCTCGGATTCCCACAGGGATGGGCTCTGCCAGGGATGTGCCCTGGCCATTCCCAAGGTGCTGCATCCTGAAATTCCACAGGGATTTCCCTGCATCCCCTGCTGGAGGTGCATCCAGCCTGGCCTTGGACATTCCAGGGATCCAGGGACAGCCACAGCTTCTCTGGGAATTCTACTCCAGGGCTTCTCCAAGGACTTCAGTGATCCTTGTGGATCTCCCCCAGCCTTGTAGATATTTTGGGATTCTCTGACATATTTATCACAGTTTTAAGCCATTTTCCAGCAGAAGTGAGGGAAGGATTTGGGCACAACCCCCCCACAAACACCCTGTGGAACTGTTCAGGGCTCTGACAGCTTTATAACCTGAAATTTGCACCTTCTGGAAAACGGTGGCAGTTAATGATTCATTGCCGTGTTGGAATTTTTCTTACGATGTCTTAATATGCGAGCATGGAGTGGAGCGCAGCAGAGAGGGAAAAGAAAAACCTGGAGCAAAACACTCCCAGAACAACTTGGGCAGGCAGGAATTGCCCAGTCCTGCCAGTGCCATCCCAAATATTTCAGATTATTTTTTTAATGCTGTTTCCTGGGTGTCCAGCTCTGGTTTGAATCCTGTTTGAAAGAAAAATTATCCAGGGGTGCATTCCTCGCTTTTCAGGAAGGAAGTTGATTTTGATATCACAAACTGTGTGCTGGTTTTAACCAAACCAGGCAAAAATTAACCAAAACTTTGTCCTTTGGAAAGACCTAAAGTTGTGCTGACAAAGGAAAAAACAGAATTAAATAATTTTTTTGAATCAGGTAAATGCTTTTAGCTTGTTTGGCAATGATTTGCCCTATCCTGTCCTGTCCCTGGAAGTGTTGGATGGAGCTTGGAGCAAGCTGGGATTCCTTGGACACCTCCAGGGATGGGGACTCATCCCAATGCCTGACAGCCCTTTCCATGAAGGAATCCTTCCTGAGAATGAAGGAGGAGGGCATGAAACAGCAGAGATTAAACTCTCATGTAAATATCCAATTAAGGAGTTAACAAGAAATAAAATAATAATGGGGGGAAAATTAATATTCTTGYTGCTGCTATTTATTGGGATTTTTTTAACTGTGCCTATGATAAATTTTTGGGGGGGAAACTACATATGTGAGTATTTTTCTAGGAATAACTTAAATACACTCTGGGGCAGGAAGAGACTTTACTTTGACTTTTAGACTCTGCTTAGGGGCAGGACTGGAAGGACTGGACATTTCTTGGGTTCTCTTTTTTCCCTTTAAATGATTTCTAGTCCTTCCAGACATCCCAGTTTTGGCTTTTCCATGCCAATGGCTCGGTATCAGGAAGCCCCACTGAGGTGACCCTGTCCCCATGCTGGGGRCAAGCTCCAGGTGGCCCTCACCTGTGTTAAAGAGTTTCCAGCCCRTTTTTGTCCCTTCTGGACAAAAATCCAGCCTGTGCCATGGAAAATAAGCTTCCTCTGCCTACTGGATGTTTGTAACAATCTGGGGTTTCGAAAAAAACCAAGCCCCAACCTGTAAAAAAGTGATTTTATTAGGGGTGGAGGTGCCCRTTCTCGGACAGAGGGGTTTGGTAACGGTGCAGGGGACAGAAATGTGAGCAATAATTGGTTTTGGGCCTAGAACCAGGAAAACTGCTTTTCCAAATTAATCCGGTGAGGGCCATGAATCCACTGTATTTCATCTGGCACTTCATAAAACTCCAGTCATAATCCATAAAAGTGACATTATGAGATTAAAAGCCTCAGTTCCTCCTCGAAGGAGCTCGCTCATTAGACACRCTGCAGTTTTATAACCTCCAAGTTCCTCCCCAATTACCGTGATTAATACTGGGCTTTAATAAAAAAATTGCTCCCCGTCACCACAGGGGTCGTTCCCATCTGGTTTTGGTGGAATTGGGAGGTTCGGTGTTGTCCAGCAGGAGAAAGACGCTCTGGGAGCACAAATCATGGATGAGGATGGATGAGGATGGATGAGGATGGATGAGGATGGATGAGGATGGAGGTCTGGAGATCCAGCTGGGTTTTGGTGGTGGTTGGAGCGTGGAAAAGCCAAGGGGACGTGGGCCAAAGGCTGGAATTGCTGTGGGAAGTGCAGATGAATTCTCCTTCCTCGTGCAGCCGATGGGAAGGAGCTGGGGAGCTGGGGAGCTCCCCGTGCTCAGCCAACAGGGATTGCCCTGGGAAATCCATCCTGAATTCACCTGGAGAAGGGAAGGATCCAGRGAGAGCTCAAAGCCCCTTCCAGGGCCAAAAGGGGCTCCAGGAGAGCGGGAGAGGGACTGGGGACAAGGGATGGAGTGACAGGACACAGGGAATGGCTTCCCACTGCCAGAGGGCAGGGATGGATGGGATATTGAGAAGGAATTTCCAGTTGTGAGGGTGGGGAGGGGCTGGGATGGAATTCCYAGAGCAGCTGTGGCAGCCCCTGGATCCCTGGAAGTGCCCAAGGCCARGCTGGACATTGGGGCTTGGAGCACTTTGGGGCGGTGGAAGGTGTTGAGGTTGGAATTGGATGAGTTTTAAGGTCCCTTCCCACCCCAACCATTCCATGGTGATGATGACGATGATGATGACGATGACGATGATGATGATGATGATGATGATGCAATGATGATGGTGATGATGACGATGATGATGGCAATGATGATGGTGATGGCAATGATGATGATGATGCAATGATGATGGTGACGATGATGGTGATGATGATGATGATGGCAATGATGATGGTGATGGTAATGATGATGGTGATGGTGATGATGGTGACGATGATGGTGATGATGATGATGAAATAACACCAAACTCACCCAGTATGGCCTCGAAGCCACTTGCCAGGACCCCACCCCTCAGCCTGTTTGACAAATCCCAATTTCCTGCTCATTGCMTTGGAAGSAGGAATTCCTTGGAGGTTTTTCCCWGCAGATTGMGGGGTCCATGGTCTCACYGAGCCCTGCACAGGCAGGAGCTGGCGCGAGCTCTGAGTCTTGGCCGCAATAACYGAAATTAAAAATGCGCCGGCTCCGCGATTCCTCCGCAGCCCGGAAAACGCCAAACTCGTGTTATTTTTGAATCCCCTGATTTTTTGGGGCTGCTGGAAATAGGAGCTCTCGCTCCTGACTTCCAAGCAGTAACAAGAGGTGGATCAGTCCTGGAAAAACCCTCCCCTGGACCACCCAGGGGCTCCTCCGGAGCTGGAACCGGCAAAGCGCAGGAGGAATTTCTGAATGCAACTGCACGAGGCAAAAACCACCTCAGAACAGGGGCAGAGCTCCCTAATGAGAGCTGCATTAATGAATCCAGGCTGATTAATATGCATCGAGCTAAATTGCATTCGGGTCAAAGGCCGAGCCCCAAACCTCGAGCGTAGCACGTTCCCTTCCAGGACCCAACACGTGTGTGGAATTTCAGATAGAAATAGCATTTTTCCCCTCATAATTATCCAGCTCGGCGTAAATTATTATTTTTTTAACTGAATAACGGTTGGGGTTTTTGTTCCTTGCTGGGATTGGTCAGAGCTYGCCTTTTTTTAACAATCTGTGACTTTCTGCAGAATCCTGCTGGGCTTTTAAAACTCGTAACTTGCAAATCACCGTATCAAAAAACATGGTGCCAGTCATATAAAATGTGAAATCACACGTTCTCAACGTTTATTTGTTGTCATTTTTAATGAGAAAACATGGATTTTTTAAAACAGAACAGTGGCTGAAAGTCCTCAGACTGCAATCGTCCATGTGTTCCTGTTGTTTGTTCCGTGGAGCGGTATTTTGGGAGACTGCATTGAATATATTCTCCTAAATGGCCAGTAAAGGCTAAAATTGGAACAAAATAATGCCTCTTAAAATGCACACTTCTGTATTTCATGCTGCTCTTTCATTGGAATCTCCAAGATTTCCTCCTGAAGGGTTTCAGGGGTGTTGCTGCCACAGATCCCTTGGAATAAGCAGGAAATGGGTGAATCCCGTGGGACCACTGGGGAAAATCCAGTCAGTGTGGGAATCCAGTCAGTGTGGGAATCCAGTCAGCGCGGGAATCCAGTCCCTGTGGGAATCCAGTCACTGTGGGAATCCAGTCACTGGAAATCCAGTCACTATGGGAATACAGTCCCTGTGGAATTCCAGTCCCTGTGGGAATCCAATCCTATGGGAACCCAGTCCCTCCATGGCCTGGCTGATCCCTCCTGCTGAAAGCACCAGCAGAGCTCCCATTCTGAGCCAGGAGGACACACTTGGGCTGGAGCCTGGGTTCCAGAAAGGCTTTGCCACCCGGGAAAACCAGCAAGGTGCTGGTTCAGAAGCTGAAATCCATCTCTTTGTTGGCATTTCCCAACGCTCTCTGCTTCCTTCTTTCCCATCCAGGTGCTCCTGATCATCAGTGGGAACCTGAGTTTCCTGAACTGGCTGACCATGGTGCCCAGCTTGGCGTGCTTCGATGATGCCAGCCTGGGGCTCCTCTTTGGTGCTCGGCTGAAGGAACGGGTGGCACGGATGGAACTCCCGGGGACACGGCCAGAGAGGCTTTCCCTGGGTGAGTTATCCCCAGACAGGGGAAAGTTGGGGATTTTGGTGTGCTTGGCTCAAAGCTTTTATCTCCTTCGCAGCAGGGCTGGGCTCTGGGGGCAGGGGGTGCCTGGAGCTCGGCCTGGGAAAGAGGGGGTTGGTTCTTGAGGGGCTGTGGGGACACTGCCATGGGGACAGTGAAATGGAGACACTGCTATGGGGACACTGCCATGGGGACAGTGAAATGGGAACACTGCCATGGGGTCAGTGAAATGGGGACACTGCCATGGGGACACTGCCATAGGGATGTTGCTATGGGGACATTGCCATGGGGACATTGCCATGGGGACACTGCCATAGGGATGTTGCTATGGGGACATTGCCATGGGGACACTGCCATGGGGACACTGCCATGGGGACATTGAAATAGGGACATTGCCATGGGGACATGTCCCCATGCAGGACCGATGTCACAGCAAGTCCAGGCAGCTGCAGCTCTTGGAAGCCAGTCCTTGCTGTGCCCCTGGTGACTCAAACCCAAAATAAGGCTGTGGAGTTGCGTGATTTATCTCCGGATGGGTTTTTTTAATTTGTGTTGTAATTGGGACTGATGAGGTGAAGGATGAAGCCCCCAGTGTGACTCGAGGCGAGGTTGGGAATTGGGTTCTCACATTTGCTCTCCTCACCTGCTCTCCTTTAATGCACGGTGGAGAAAGTCCCAGGGAGAGTTCAGAGCCCCTTCCAGGGCTAAAGGGGCTCCAGGAGAGCTGGAGAGGGGCTGAGGACAAGGGATGGAGGGACAGGACAGGGGAATGGCTTTAAACTGGMTGAAGGGATGGATGGGATATTGGGAAGAAATTTCTGGCTGTGAGTGAGGGTCCAGTGAGGCCCTGGCACTGTGGCTGCCCCTGGATCCCTGGAAGTGTCCAAGGCCAGGCTGGATGGGGCTTGGAGCACCCTGGGACAGTGGAAAGTGTCCAGGGGTGGCACTGGATGAGCTGTGAGGTCACTTCCCACCCCAAACCACTCTGGGACTGTGTGAACTGCAGAAGAATTCCTGTTCTTGGAGCACCCTGGGCCGGTGGGAGGAGCAGCTGCTGGTGGCCCCCACAGGTCGCGTGTCCACCACGGCGGTGGGGACAGAACTCCCCAAACCAGGGAGGAGGAGAACTCCCGTTCATACCATGGGCGTGAAAAAACAAACACAGGGAGGGCTGTAACCAGGAAAAAAAACACTGGAGGTGGCTGATTGCCCCTTGCAGAGGCGCTTTCCAGGAGGAGCAGCGCTGGGTGTTCCTCGCCAGGCTGCGGAGCAGATGGAGCGCGGCGTTCGCGGCGTTTTTATAAACCGCGTGTAGGCAACAAATCGCCTGTAACATCAACAGCGATCGCAGCTGCCGGGGTGGAATATCCCCAACATCTGCTGGAGGAAGGGAAAATGTCAACAACAGGCAGCATCTGTCTCCAGGCTCTTCTCCCAACAAGCAGCTTGTTAATGAGAAATGGGAGTTCCAGCTTCGTTAGGCTCTCCTCGTGTTTTGCTGGGATAAATCTTTCGCAGCTTCAGCCTCAGCCTTCCCTGCCAGCTCCGTTCAACCCCAAACARCTCCGAGGCTGCGCCTTCCTTTGGGGAGGGGAAGCTCGAGGGAGTCACGGTGAGGGGGAGGCAGATCCTGTTTTGAGGAACTTGCACCTTTCCTGGGCTGTTGTCCAGCGAGGCTGAGTGAGCCGGGAACATCCGCACACCCCGCTCCGGCTGTGCCCCACCCTCGGAAGGGCTGGGGTGTCTGAAATACCCCGGGGATTTGAATTCCTGCATGTTTGCTCTGCTGGGGAAGCAGGGGGTGTTGAGCTGGGGCTCTCTGAGGAGCCCTGGGCCACCAGAGGAGGGGACAGGAGGGCACCCAGCCATGGCCTGATGATCTGAGGCCACATCCTTGAAGTKATCCTTGTGTTTGATCCCTACTGAGAACTCCACTTCCCATCCAGATCCCACTGGCTTCTCTCCCCAAATTTTGCTCCATCCTTGCCATCTAGGCTTTTTTCCCCCTGAATTCACCCTTTTTTCTCCGTGACTTAGTGATTGTGACCCTCAGAGCCAGGAGGGTGAGCAGTCCCTGCATGGCCATGGGGGCTCTGTGTCTGTACCTGGTCTTTCACTACAGGATAAGAAGTTCATCCTATCTGGAAAAAAAAACCAAAAAAATGCCCCAAATCCTCATACACAGCAGCACAGGGGGTGAGGGAAGGCCCGATTCAAACGATTCTCCAGAAATATTCTCAGACTAAACAATTATTAATGGCTTCTGCGAGAGGTTCAGATAAACATCCCTCTCCCGCAGAGAGAAGGGGAGAGCTCCACGCGATTGCTTTGAATCCGATCCTTCGGCTGGCCTTGTTAAATAAATGGAAAAGGGCCGTGGGGGAAGGAGCCCCTCGGGGGTCACCTCTGCTTGTTTGTGTGCCCCTGGCAGGGTCTGCCCAGCCGGGGTCCAGCCCAGCCCCTGCTGCTCCTGTCGGTGCCTGGATCTGGCAAACCTAAACCAGAGGCTGGACAGAATTCACAGAATAAAAAGCAGTTCTAATTATTGCAGAGTCTACAGGGACATTCAGGGTTATCCCAGCCCACCCAGGGCTGTACCCAAAATGGACAATGACTCATGGGTTTTTTATGCTTTATCAGTTTTGTCCATTTGCACATCGGGGCTGAATCCTCCAATTCCAGCTTCAGCCAATGCAGTCATTGACTCCAAGTTGGYTCCCCCCAATTCTCTGTTGTTTYCATCTCTTGRGGCCTGGCACAGGGAGGTGTCCTTGAGTTTGGGGCTGGAGGGGAATTGTTTTGTGTAAAAATGRGAGAGCAGGAGCTCAGCACTGTCTGTGGGGTCTGGAGTTAAACACTGAAGAGTTCCAGGGTTACAGAGACATGGAAATAGAGAAGCTGAAATCCTRAGGCATCACTGCAAACCCATCCCAGAGCGCTGGCACAGCCACACACATCCCCAGAAGCCATGGGGAATGGAATTCTGCAGGAGGAAAAGCACTCAGGATGGGGAGAGCCTGGGGCAGCGGGGGAGGCAGGAACAGGGACCCCGCACCCGGCTCYCCGAGCGGGACGCTGACCCCGAGCAAGGTGCAGGTGCCAGCTGGGGTTTTTCCCCTGCAGTAAAGCYGTGATTAATGGCACATTTCAGACATTTTTCCCTTTAGCCCTTGCTCAGACTGTTTAGAGAAAGGCAGATCCCGGCAGCGATAGCAGCCCCTGGCAAGGCCGGGGTGATTGCAGCGGGGCCGGCATGGGGGGAATGGGAATGGGGATGGGGATGATGGGAATGATGGGAATGATGGGAATGATGGAAATGGAATGGGAATGGGGATGGGGATGGTGGGAATGATGGGAATGATTGAAATGGCAATGGGAGTGGGAATGGGGAGGGGATACGAATGGGGATGATGGGAATGGGAATGGGATGGGAATGGGATTGGGAATGGGAATGGGAGTGGGAATGGGAATGGGATGGGAATGGGATTGGGAATGGGAATGGGAGTGGGAATGGGATGGGGATGGGAATGGGATGGGAATAAGGATGGGAATAAGGATGGGAATGGGATGGGAATGGGAATGGAATGGGGATGGGAATGGGAATGGGAATGGGAATGGGAATGGGAATGGGAATGGGATGGGGATGGGAATGGGAATAAGGATGGTAATGGGAGCAGAGCAGTGAAATCACCTCCCCCTGGGCCGGTTTTGTGTCCCCCCAGGCTCCTGCATCCGCCGAGTGCTGAACATCTCCCTGGGTCTCCTCATCACCTACCTCAGCGTGCCCGTGGTGCTGAACCTGCTGAGCTCCAGGCAGGTCATGAACACCTCCTTCAACCCCCTCCGCATCGTCAACACCTACGGAGCCTTCGGGAGGTACGGGGACTGACAGCACATCCCCGAGCTCTGCTCCTCTCCCTGGGCCACAGCCACACCTCCTGTGTGCCTGGAACCTGCACAGAAACCCTGCCAGCACACCTGGAATGGGAGAGAGACGGGGAAAAGGAGTGGGTTCCTTTCCCACTGAAATACAACTGATGGAGTATCTGGTTTTGAGAGAGATGGCAAAAAAGAGCAGGTTTCTTTCCCCCTGAATTTATTTTCCTKGGCCTGTTTTTAATAAGCTCATTCTATTGTTCTGTCTGTTCTAGACTTGAAGTGTTTGTTCATGAGGCAGAAGGAGAAAAGGAGCAGGTTCCTTTCCCACTGAAACACAATTTATGGAACATCTGCTCATGAGGCAGAAGGAGAAAAGGAGCAGGTTCCTTTCCCCCTGAATTTATTTTCTCTGAGCTGTTGATGAGTCAGCCCATTCTGTCGACATAGCAAATGTCAGAGCAGGATGAAAATATCCCTGAGAGTAGGATGAAAATATCCACAGGAGAGTTCATCCAGGATAGCCCTCACCATCCCCATCGTTTTTCATTTCTGCTGAGCTGCTCTCCCCTGCACTCCTTTGCTCTCCCTCCTGGGAACATCCACAGCAGCTTTTGGCAGCAGATTTTGGGGCAACAGAGGGAAGTGCTGCTCCAGCTATGGGAAACTKTGGAGGCTAAAGTAGAAACAGCCTCAAAAACAAGATTTGAGAGGCCAGGGCCAGCAGCTGTGGCTGTTCCTGGATCCCTGGGATGTCCAAGGCCGGGTTGKACAGGGGTTGGAGCAGCCTGGGGTGGTGGAAGTGTTGGGGTTGGACTGGRTKKGCTTTRARGTCYCTTCCCACCCAAACCATTTGGTGATTTTATGATTTTCCATGACCTGAGCCGAATAACAGCACCCTGTTGTATCCCACAGCATCACCAAGGAGAGGACAGAGGTGATCCTTCAGGGGACAGCCAGCCTGGATCCCAATGACCCCRCTGCTGTCTGGGAGGAGTTTGAGTTCAAGTGCAAGCCCGGGGACCTGCGGAGGAGGCCGTGCCTCATCTCCCCCTACCACTATCGCCTCGACTGGCTCATGTGGTTTGCTGCCTTCCAGGTAGGGACCTTTCTTGGGCTTTCTTTGACCAGGAAAAACAAATTTTATGGATTTACTTCATGTTGGGATCACAGGGGAGCAATGGAAGCTGTGGCTGAGTTAATTATGTTTTAAAAAAATAGCAAGAACAAGAGTCGTGTTCCTAAAGGACTATGCTACTGTGATGAAACTCATGGCRCTTTTATGTGAGGTTTTTTTAAGGGGTTCTTAGCAATGGATCTAAGGGGTTCTTAGCAAGGATCCCTCTTGGGGACACCCCTGGGGACAGCAGCTCCCACTGCCCACCTGCCCCCACACGGACATCAGTCCCTCCAAACATTTTCCCCACATGGTGCCAGCAAACCAATTCCAGCCAGGAATTACAGAAGAGGGAGGAACTTGTCCTATTAATTAGYGTTTAGCTTATTTTGCAAATCCTACCCCCGTGACACGGGCTGGGTTTTACAGAGCTGACCRACAGCAGTGGCATGAGGCAAACCCAGCTCAGATCATCCCAGGTTTTTCTCCTTTTTCCTGCATTCTCTCCTGGAATATCTCCTTCCCCCTGCCCCGAGCTCCCGTGTTTGCTCTCCCCGCGGTGTTTCCATTCCTGGCTGATGACATGGGGCCGTGGTTGGGTATTTACCCCGCTGGTTTGTGTGCTCTGGAATTTCATTTAATCTGCATTAGGGCTGCTTATCCCTCAGGGAAACCAYGGCCAAGGCCTGAGCTCCAGCCAGGAGTGGGGCTGGCCTTGGGAAAGGTGCAGGGGGTGGATGGAGCTGAGGTGGAAGTCAGGCTGTGCTTTGGGAGGGCTCTGAGAGGAGAGAAATCAACTCCTCCAGACAAAGGTTGGTTCTGAGGTGAGAAAAAGGCTCTTCCCAGGGCAGGAATGTCMTGAAGGTTGGGAATAAAAGGGATCTGAGGTTTAAAGCTGAAGAGGACGGGACATGAGTCCTCATCTTCAGTGGGAGTGCTGCCAGGGAAGTGCCCTGAATCCCAAACCAGCCCGACATCCTATACAGGAACGCTGCCAGGGAAGTGCCCTGAATCCCAAACCAGACTGATATTCTATACAGGAACGCTGTCAGAGAATGCCCTGAATCCCAAACCAGCCCCATACCCAATCATGCCAGGGGCTAGATAAATACAGAGCCAGACCTTGTCCATGAAGGGAATGATTCCTGCCCTCAGGGGCCACCGTGTGTCCCTGTCCAGACCCTCTCCTGGAACAAAAGGACCTTTCTTTGCTGCTACAGAGGTGACACGGGAGCCATGCCAGGTGTCCCCTTTCCCTGGGGAGGTGGGATCGAGGAGCTGCCCCCAAAGTTGTGCTCTGCTGTCCCATGCAGCCTTTTATTCCCACCTCCTTCAGGGAGCAGCTGCTTTCCCAAGGATTTTCCGATGGGATGGGCTGAGGGATGGCTTTTAGTGAGTAATTGCACCTTGGGCTGGAGATGTGGCTTGTCTTTTTTGGGAAACTTGTAGAAAAAGGGGATGAAATTTGGAAAAAATTGCTTCCTGTGAGGGTGGGAAGGTCTTGGCACAGGTTTTCCAGAAAGGCTGTGGCTGCCCCTGGATTCCTGGAATTGTCCAAGGCCAGGTTGGATGGGGCTTGGAGCAACCTGGGATAGTGGAAGGTGTCCCTGCCTRTGGCAGGGCCGGCACTGGWTGAGCTTTAAGGTSCTTCCAACCCAAACCATTCCAGGATTCCATGTGGATATTGGAGAWAAACTGACCTTCCTTGGATATGGAGCTTGGAGAGCAGGATGGTCACAGGTGATGGCGAGCTGGAATCCCATAAAAACCAGAGGGTGGCATTGACTGTGGCCTCCTTCCTGTGGGTCAGGGATCACTGCTCCTGACTKCTCCAGTTCCAGAACTGCAGTGTTGGACGTGCTCAGCCACAGCAGAGCCAGCAGCAGTGTGGATCCGGGGGGAAAGCACCCGGGATGGTGGAATTCCAGGGTGCAATTCCCGTGTTTTGTGACACAAGAAACGCCCCTCGTGCCCTGGCTCAGGAAATGGCACCTGYCCTGCCCCTCTGTCCACCACTGACTCCCGTGGGAAGCCCCTCAGGGCTCCCAAGCACGTGGAATAACAACGCCGAGCTCCCGTGCCGAGTTTCCAGCTGTTCCCACATGTGCATCTCATCCCACAGCCGTGCCAGCCCCCAGATTCCATAAAACACCGCACTAATCCCCAGCCCTTTTTCATTAAATGACCAATTAAAGCTGAAGGAAAAGGCTCCTTATTATTATTATTTCAGTTGGGAGCACGTTCCCTGCAGTGCCAGGGGGGTTTATTGGGGTTTTTTTTGGGATGATAACGTTCCCTTGGTTTTGATATCAGCGGGGTTTGGTCGCTGCTGTGGCTGCTCTGCCCCGGCTCCTCGCTGGTGYCTGACTCAGCAGAGATTTGAGTTTGGGTTCTGTGCAGTTATGAAACCCTCCTGGACACGAGTGAATGGGTTCCAGGTGAGAACACCGTGTTTATTCCCTGAAAAAGTGTCGGAGTGGAGAGGTCAGGCAGTGCCAAACGCTGCAGGGGTTCAGTGCAGGTGATGTTCAGCTCCTCATGGGTGGCTGGAGAAAGAGCRAATCCCCTTCCCAAAGTGGCATTTGGGGTAAGAGTGGCACGGAGAGGTGGGGGCAGTGTCTGCCTGAGTGCTGCACAGGGCTGAAACCCAGCAGGAAATCAAAACTTATGGGGTCTTCACACCAAGAACCCAAAATCCTTTGTGAGTCCACCCTGTTGTACCTGAAACTGGGTTTTTKGAGGTTCAGGGTGCTGCTGCCAGCTGTAGGGACAGCTGAGGCTGATCTGGCTGGCGAGCTGCCCCTGGCATTTCCRTGGATCTGCACAGGGTGTCCATGGACACGGAGAGGCCCCAGCTTTAGGGCTGTGTCATTTTGGGACCCCCTTATTGCAGTGGGGTTGGCAATGGGGTTTTTGTGTGTCCCTGCATTGTTTTCAGTGCAGAAACAYACAGGAAACTCTCTGAAGGGAAGAAGGGAAATTGTTGCTCTCAGAGRGGCTGCAGCTCCCCAGGAATGCTCTGGGCAGGGTCAGTGACAGTGATGGTGTCCATCCTCACTGCAGGGGCTGCAAGGTCACTGGTGCCCCAGTGATCCCAGTATGGGTGCAGCACGGGCTCTGTGGGGCACAGGGGGAGCTCTGACCCCAGGAGCAGCTCGGGGAGCCCTGATCCGTGTTTTGGTGGGGATGGAGCAGCTCTGGGATCCATCGCTGGGCAGGACCAGTCCTGGCTGCTGCTCTGCTCATTGAAGGTCCAAACCCTAAAGATGACCCCAAAACAGGCCTGCCCACCTCCCTCCAATGCGTTCTTCTGTCCTGGATCGTTTTTTTTTAGTTTGTTTGTTATAATTAACCCTCAGGATGGCTCAGGCTCTGCACACTCCGATCCCTCCACCCCGACCGTGCCGATCCAGTTCAGAGCTGCATCCCACTGGACCCATCACCTTCCCACCCTTTGGAATGACGCTTCCCGGCTGCAGCCCGGATCTCCCGGACCCTTTTCCCCCCCGTTTTGCGGCCGTGTGGCTTTGCAGAGTAACGAGCTGAGCGGCGGCTCGTTAGCACAGCCCGGCTCCGGCTCCCGGCTCCGGCGGGATCCAAAGCTCCGTGCGGGAACGGGGGATGGGGAGGGGGCTGCACCGGCTGGAAACTTCTCACCGCAGACTCTGCTGGGGCCAGACATGCTGTAAATTTTACAAGGAAAACACTTTACTAACCAGAAGTCCCAACTCTGGAGCTGCCAATTAACGATKCGGAGGCCGCGGGAGCCGGTCCCGCCTCCCCGGAGCCTCCCGGTTCTCAGCGGCTCCGAGGGTTTGGGGGCCTCCATCGAGCCTTCAAACCTCCCAGGGTCTCCTGAAATGATCTTTAAAATCTGGGATGTCCAGGGAAAGGCGGGGTGATGAAGGTGTCGTGTGATGTTCCATCCCTGCAGTTGCTGCTGTGCCTTTTGGGAGATCCTCTCTCCCAGACAGGGCTTCCCAGGATGGCACCCACCTTCCCAAATCCCAGCCTGACTTCCAGAGTCATGGAATCGTGGGGGACATGGAGATTGGAGTGATTGATCTGTGGGGACACAGTCAG